CGGTGACGCCATGAGTGGTGGTGGACTGTACTCATACCCACTAAGAGCCAACTGAGCCGGCTCGCCTGCTGAAATATCACGACCACTCAGAAGACAGTTTCAGTATACGCACGTTTGAGTATATATACTGAAAGTCAAGTTATTATGTTCAGAGCGACATAGACGCGGTGGACGGTCGAGGCAACACCGCGCTGCAGATCGTGTGCGGCGGCGCTATGAGGGAAAATTCTGTTGAAATCGTCAAACTGCTTATGGAAAACAATGTAAGTGTATATACTGGCCCTTTATAGATACATCGATAGATGGACATTTCATAAGTATATAATTTACTAATGTTACAATACAGTACAACCAAGGGAAACACAAAATCTTTTAAGTTATACAGATTTAAGTTATCAAGGGTCTATGTTATAGAGGTTTTGGGCTCGGATGAGAAAGGAACATATTATTTATTGAAGTTATAGAGGTTTTTATGTTACCGAGGTTTGAGTTATCTAGGTTCTACTGTATTAGCTATATTATAAATGTTAAAATGTGGATGGATGGATGGATGTTACGTAATCATCAAAACAACCTAATGATTCTCGATGCAAAGCACAGATGTAGAACGTAGTTTGGACGTACATATGAATTCTAAGTTTGTATTTAATTCCGTACAGACAAGGTCGCTTTCTATAATAAAAATAATGTTAAATGACAGGCAAATCCGAATAAGAATGAAGAGAACAACCAGCCGGCGTGGCGCATGGCGCGCGACAAGCCGCAGCTGCTGCAGGTCTTCAGGAAGTACATCCCGCAGCTGATGGACTGCGAGGAGGACATCAAGTCGGAGCCAGAAGACGAATATGAATCCGCTGATGAGGGTGTAAGTCCAACTCACCCTTTACCACAATCCCTTGTAGAGACTGCGTTTACTATTACCAATTTATGATCTCCTGGTACCATATCATTTTTTTTAGTCCACTGCCTCACTCAGAGTTGTTGATCGGTCACTAAGGAAGTCCATCAATGTAGATTTAATTACACTAATAATATCTAATCGACTTTACTATGGCAAGTAAACCGAATTTGTGATCTATACATATAATAAAATTGAAGTGTCTGTTTGTAATATCAAAAGAAAAAATCCAGATTTCGGAAAGATATATGTGTTGCTGATAACGAAAATCGCATTTAAAAAATTTTTGTCTGTCTGTCTATCCGCAAGCCCCGTTTTTCCCAGGCAATCTACGAAACGGCTGGGCCGATTTCGACCGGATTTTCACTGAAGCTTAGCTAACATGGACGGGCATATTATAGGCTACTTTTTTAATTCCGCGCTGTCAAAATGGCGACCGAACTGCTATCTCTGGAAAAGGTCGACCGATTTGGACGGGACTTTGGAAGGTAGCTGGTAAAAAATAGATGCACTCGGGAATGTTATAGACGACCATTTTTTTTTATTTTCACGCTAACTAAGTTTTGGGGCAACAGCTCGTTAAAAATAAAAGAAATACAAATATTATCAAGATACTAGAATCTCATAAATTGGTAGTACGTAGTCTGTTACGTGTGATTTTAGCAAGATGCATGCGATGTCTGCCTGGTGGACTTGAACCTATACTTGGACGAGGTGTCGACGTTGCTGGACGCGAGCGGCAGCTGGCGCGAGGTTGCGCAACGCCTGCAGCGCGATTCGCTGCTCTCCTGGTACTCCGCCGCGCCTAGCCCCACGAGAAGACTACTCACATATATGAAGGTAACACTATCTCTTTCTTACGCAATCTAATTCTATATTTCCATCTCTTTCTCCGTATAGCTTTCCCTTTCACGCTAGCACTTGTTTACATTCGACGTCCCTTTTCCACTTAATCCTTCTCGCTCTAACGCGAACGAAGCTTTGTATCTTTGTTTCCAAATGGTATATTTCACATTTTGGTTTAGGAATGTTGACGTGCGGTATGTAACAAACGATTTCTTTATTATGATTTAACTTATTTTTAATATTCAAGTTTCTTTATCATCTTGCAGGATATTGACGATGAGATAACATCAAAGTCGTTGGCTCTACTTCTAGAATACATGGGAGAGAAGGAGGCGGCGACTGTCATCAGACGACACCTCAGCAGTTGATACCAATGGCACCGTTTTGACATCATTTTAGTGAAAATTTCAAATCGTATTGACTCGTCATTAATCGCTATCGTATATTATACTTTATATATTATAAATGCGAAAGTTTAGATGGATGGGTGTTTGTTAGGGTTTGTAGCAACGGCTGAACGGATCTCCATGAAATTTGGCACAGGTTTAGAGCATAGCCTGGAAGAACACATAGGCTACTCATTTTTGTTTTTATTTAATTCCACGCGGACGGGGTCGCGGGCGAAAGCTAGTGTTATGATATTTTTTGTCAACTACTAAATTCTAATTATACATATTTTATGATTGGTTGATTGGTAATTATCAAGTTTTATCGATAAATCCATTATTTGTAAGTTTTTATAGTGAAAATTTGATTTTTAAAATAAATAAGACCAATAAATGGTGATTAAATTTTGTGTTAAAATTATTAAAAGAAATATTTAACAAACTATATATTTCATTCTCAATTAATTCTATTTCATTTTTAAATTCGATAAACTGCAAAGTAAAAGGTTTTTGTAATTCCAATTTGCATTTAGTGTTTTACGTTTAAATATTATGTATATTTTCTTAAATTAATCTATATGTAGTATGATAAAACCATAATCGAGAACGTTTTTGACCTTTATCTGTCAAAAATCGTTAGAAAAGCACATATTCTTTCTATAAGAGGCTCGCCACCGTACCGTCTTAATTAAAATCCTAATTAACGATTTGATATCAATTATATAAAAAGGAAGGTTTTCTTTATTAGCTTGTATTTTTTAATTTTAAAATTTGAATAAGGATTACTAAATGTTAGATAACAGGCTTGGTAGGAAATTCATCTTAGAATGTAAGGAAGCTTGAGTGAAACGGAATGCATTTTTGTTAACCGTAATTAAAAAAATAAACACAAAATGTCATTACACTTTATGTTGTTTCCTAGTTTATTGGAGTTATAACCACTCAGTACATTGAATTATGATATGTATTTTGTAATAAAAGTTCATTGTTCAGTATATTTAAAACAAGTGAAGTACATAATCTTAAGTTTAATTTACTGTAAAAATCATAATTTTACAAAAAAATTATTTTATGAATCAGAACATTATTGTTTTTCGCCAAAACTTGATTTTGGGGTTGCTATCAAGGCAAAAAATAATGTCAAAGCAAAATTGCAACACTTTTTGAGAAGTTGCCATTTTGTTAGTTTTTTTAATCGGTCAAACAAATATTGTGATAAGGACATTTTAAAGGTAATTTTAATCTATACTATTATAATAAA